TGCTGCGGGTTGCTGCAGGTCCTGCAGCCGCAGGGCCGTTGCTGCAGCCCCTGTTTCCATTGCTGCGGGTCGCTGCAGGTCCTGCAGCCGCAGGGACGGGCTGGGCGCGCTGCGGGCCTGTGACAGCAGCTGGCTCACGGCGGCGCCGCGCAACCCGCTGGCGCTGGGGCACTACGTGAACAACTGCGCACAGGGTGAGTAGCCACAGGGCTCGCCCAGGAACCGGTGAGCTGGGCAGCGAGGGGATGGGGCCCTGTGGAATCCCAGCAGACCCTGGTGCTCCAACAGGGTCTTGTCCCAAACGGGAGCTGATGGGGAAGGCATCTGGGCAGGGAGCGGGGTGGGCTGCAGAGCGGCAGCGCTGCTGCTGGGGGCTTCTGGGCAGCAGCGCTGTGCAGAACAGAACAGCTTGGACACCACTGGGCTGGGAGCGTCCTGCTGCTTGCATTCCCTGGGGAAAGGAACCATGTCCACACACAATGTGGGAGACTTGTTAGGGTGTACCTGTGGAGCCTGGAAACAGGGCACTGTTTATTTCTTCCTTCACATAAAAGGGGTTGGTCCGGGCGCTGGGGGAGGAAGTGGTTGTATCTGGGCTGTGGCTGCGAAATACTGGGCACTGAGGGGCTCCCAAAGGCAGCGCGTGGGTGTCTGTGGGGCCAGCGGGACCTGGGTGGGCGCCGTGGGGCTGCCCCAGAGCTCTGTGCCCGGGGCTGCTGCTGTTGCTGCTGCTCAGGCCAGCACCCAGGAAAGGAAATGCTCCTGTTCCTGCCGGGTGGCTGGTGCTTCCCCCCCGCCTCTCTCCACTTTTTAACTAATTTTTAAAAAACTTACAAGCAAACTTACAAGTAACTTCAGCATGGTTTGCAGGCCTAGTGAAGCAGGTGCACCTTACTGTGCAGCAGGACATTTGATCTGCTTGCACATCTCTCAACCCAAAGAGAAACTCTTTCTTAGTTTCTTAAAGTCATATTTTTTTCTCCTTCCTAGAAAAAGCCGCCAATGTCTGTTACCAGGAGTTCGACGTGCCAGCATCTTTTCCAGTAGAGCTGAAGCAGTATCTTCCAAACATCGCCTACAGCCATGACATAGAGAGGTCAGCAGGGAATCCAGGCTCTCATAGATCTGTGTGGTAAAAGTGTCCTGTATGTGAAGAACAAAGATGCGTTACGTGAGAGTGTCCATATGTAAGGAGAGTGTTAGCTCTTCAACTAGACCCATTTTAAGCAAATTACAGGATTCCCTGTTTCTTTTTGTTCCTTTTTCCTACAGCTTCACAGCAGCGTAGCTGAGGAAACAGTTTTACAAGCAATGGTTGCACTCCAGGGTCAGCTGTGAATGTCTTAAATCAGTACTTAGGTTTTGGTTCTCTTACCATAACAGTGTTTTTCAGCATATATTTCAAATGTAGCTTCTAGCTGCTCATTTTGGTGTTGATCTTTACAGTTCTGATGACGTTGCTAGTCTCATTTGAACATCCTTTCTTCCTTGTGGGATTTTTCCTAGCCCTGGCTGGTGTTTAGCCGGTGCTTCCCCATGGCAAGCGCTGCAGCAGCGGGGCCTGTCCGGGGCCTGCTCCTTCCCCGACACATCCCGCCTGGCCAGGGGACGCACCCGGCTCCCTGCGTCACGGCCTCCCGCTTCAGGCCGGGTCCATTTGCTCATGAAACCTCAGAGGACGTTGTTCCGCAGTCAGTCACAGGAAGGCTCTGCCAGCCACTGCCATTAGCATGGGCCTTGTGGACTGTAGCACTTCTACTTATATTTGCAGTCTTTCTTTCATTTTCACAGGCTGCCTGGCCTGCCCTCTGCATTTTGCTCTCAGAAATATTCTAGACATAGACATTGTTTTAGCCCCTGGCAATGAAGAACTTTAAGGAATTAGGAGTGAAATCTGATGGTTCGCTTGGACATATTTTTCTTTTCCTTCTTCTGCAGCCACCTGAGGTGTGTCGTGCTTGTTACGCTCAGAGACATCAAGCAAGGAGAAGAACTTTTTTCTAATTACTTCACTGTTGTTAACTGAATTATTCAGTGGATGGGCTGGATGAATCTGTTTTATTAAAATAAATGAAGTGTGTACATGCTTCGAGTTCCACGAGCATCTTTGTATGATGGAAAGCTGTGCTTGGCCATTTCAGAGGCCAAGAGGCCTGCAGGTTGTGTTTCTCTGAAAATGCGTTGCATACAGAGGGGAAGCTCTAAGCTGTTCACATCATTCAGTTCTCAGCTGCCTGGTATTTTTTAAAGTTTATTGTTTTTCAGGTGTCCGTACAACATCTCATAAAATCAGAATTAAGTTCTGAACGTGCCATTTCATCTCCTAGCTTGCGTAGTTGGACAGAACCGTGACTCAAGTCTTCATCTTCTGCCATTTCATCTCATGCTTACAGTGGACGTGACTCATCTCAGGTAGGACAGGCACAAGGATAGAAGGGGAGGCACTTCTTTGGTTCACAGAATCACAGAATATTTAAGTTTGGAAGGGACCTCTAGAGATCATCTAGTCCAACCTTCCTGCTCAAGCAGGCACACCTACAGCATGTGGCACAGGGCGGCATCCAGGTGGTTTAGCCACCTTTCCTCTGAGGAAAAGAAATCAAATTTTTGAGGAGGTTTCATTCGGTGCTTCATTGTTTGGTTTTGATTTTTTAAGCAGTTACTTCAGTGTGTGGAGAGGAGTCTTCATTTCATGGGTTAGAAAGTCAAGACAAGCTAGTGTTTTATTTTTGTGAACACACAAAAAGAGACTGGCTCCATGGTAGCTATGGATGTAGTAAGTGCAGCTGTGCTCAGTTGTAAGCTGTAGTACTTCAAATACTATGAGCTGCTTTGCTTTTTGTTTCTTGCTTTCCTTCCAGAAAATAGAACCAAGATGCTGGTCTGTGAAGTAATACAGAGAAGTAATACAGCTTTTCAGGGTGCAAGAACTTCCACAGCGTTAAGTTATTCAACATTCTTAAACAGAGAATTAGCAGGGTCACTACCTCATTCAGTGTCCTTGTGCAAGGGCTAGGTAAAGAAAAAGGCACATTTTTAGTTAGTTTGCAAGGTGAAATAACTCTGAATAGCAAAAGTAGTGTTTGTCAAGCATTTCAGTGCATAAATTCTGGCTCCTCCAGGAGCCAGCACAGGTAAGGGGTTGGCTTTGTGTTCAAGGGTAGTTGCTACAGGCAGAAAGGAGCCGCGTCTCCCACCACGCGGTGGTTGCGTGCGGGGGCCTTTGCCTGGAGGCTGAGCTCAGAGCCACGCTGGGGCAGGCTCCTGCTTTGGGGGCTTTAACGGCTTCTAGTAGCTGCAGTTCAGAATTACCCACCTCCATTTCAGCCATCGCAGGCCCCGTCACTTCTGCCCCAAGAGGCTCCCAGCCCCCGAGGTGGGTGAGAGGTCCCTGGGGGAGCCGAGGTGCCCCTTGTGCTCCCGGCTGCAGCTGAGGAAGTGCTCAAGCTGCCCTGGGGAGCAGATGCATGAAAAGCTGCACGAGCGAAGAAAGGTTTCCAGACATTTATTTCTGGAACTGTACACCAGGTATTAAAGTACAACAAATACAAAATAATGCTCAAAAAAATCAGTGTTTATGTACAAATATTAAAACCAATGCAACAATAGAGACTTCCTCTTGAACATCTGATACTAAAACCTGTTCCGATTGTCACTAAAAGCTGTTGTTCTGCACAGGGTGCTTGCTTGGAACTGAGACTAACTGGAATCTCTGTTTCCTTACAAGGACTAAAACCATACCTATTGTATTTTACAACTGATAGCATTTTCCTTCTTTCCATGAAAAATAGGAATAAAAAAAATAGTAACCTTGTAATTATTTTATAAATTACTGTATTTAGTTTCCCCATCTGTAGACAATGTGCTTGTAATGCTGGGCAAAATAGTGTCCCTGTTGGTCAGTTTATCCATTAGTTTACATTCAACGCTGAAATATTCACTAGAGGCTTTGGTTAAATTAAGTAGTATCACTATGTCCTACTGGAGCTGACGATTTCATACATTTCTGACTCTCAGTTTGAAAAACTTAAAAACAGGAAACAATTGCACAATTCATTGACCTAATTGTACACAATTTAGTATTCTTCAAACAGTATTGTACATCCTTCAAGTAAATTCAGCAGTTTGAGCGTGACAAGAGGAAAACTAAACATGTAAAAACCTAGCGGGAGCAGATGCTGGGGGGACTAACGAAAGGAAGAGTATTGCTCTAATCACAGCACCAGTTACACGTCTACATGAATCGGCTCCTGCTCGGGCTCCCTGCACGCGAAGGGGAACAGCCCCCGACGCTGCGACTGCCCATGATGGATTTTTGGTTTGTTTTGTATGAAGAAAGAGGGTGGCAAAGGACAAAGAATTCATCACAGTTTGTTAGAAGAATTGGGCTTCCCCACCAGGCGCCCAGGCCGGGCTTCTTCATGTGGCCACCATCAGGTTATCCCCACGCTGCCCTCCCACCCACAATTCTTTTAATAAACAGTAACAAGTTCTCCATTTAAATGTTGAAACTGAGAGAAAAATAAGTAAGTCCAGCTTTTAAAAGAAAAAAAAAATTCAATAAATAGCTATTTTACATGGATAAAGTCATAGTGGTACAAATTTATGAATGTCACATCAAGCATGCACAAAAATGTTACTATACACAGAAGTAGTCAGAAAATATTGAAATAGATATCTAAAAAGATATGAAGAATTTACATATTTACAAAATCTTGCAAATTATTGCCTCATTTTAACAAGGAATTAAAAGTAAACGATACCAGCCAGCTAGCCCACAGGCTAAATAAGATCAGCATTTTAAAAAATCTATCACACTAGCCGGAATTCATTTTTCTCTCATATCATTTTCTGGATTTTGGTCAAAAGTCTTTATTAAATAACTAAAGTGTCCATTCAACTTGCTGACAACCCAAACCTTAGACAAGTCTCTGTCTACATTAAGATCCCAGCAATGCATAGATAAACTGAATATATTACTGCATCAGCTAATGAGAATGGGCATGTTCATTTAAGTGCAACTGGCATAAGCATTCAGTCAGCTTCAGATAATGGAGTCTTCTACACACCAGCCACTCGCTGTAAACCCACAGTCAACCTTGAATGTATAACAATGAAAAATTATGGCCAGTATTTTACAAAATTACAGAAAATGTGTTGATTCAAAAACAAACAAACGAAAAACCCCCAAGGTACAAAGTTCAGCACAAAACACAGCAACAAGAAGCTGACAACTTGGCTGGAAATGTCGGAGTCCAAGGCAGGGCCCAGGCTACCCGTTACTTGCTGTGCACTGACTAGAGTTACCTACCTCAGGTGGGTCAGTTAAGAGCTGCTTACACGACTCTATCTCTGCTTCTGTGCACGGTGCTAGACCAGGTTCTCAGGGTGGTAAATGTGCTCGTGTGCAAACACCTCCAAGCCATCGGCAGGAGCCTGCTTTAAGGGAAAGCCCGCTCGCTGCTGCCAGGCCTCGGGCGTCGAGCCAGTTCACAGTATGCACAATAAATACCCGCCCCCCTCATTCAAGTCGCTACTTTCTAATTACTCTGCGTAACCTTGAAGCGGTAGCACAAATATCAACAACGCCGGGAAACTGTCACTTAGTCAATGACAGCAAGGCAGGGGCAAGTGGATTTGTGATATGAACAGTGCAAAGAAAAGGCTGGAGGGCAAGGCAGAGTCCTACTGAAATCAACTGCAGTTTCTTACTGAAAAGGCCCAAACACTGCGCGCTACAAGAAGGGAGCACAAGCCAACACTGTGCTTGGTGTGACACCTCCAGGAGCATTAGAATGATTCCTTTCAAGACAGAAACTTTGTGGATGGCTAAATTGCACTCAGAATAAACATTTACGGAAGTTAAATAGTTACTTCCATGGGAAACAATTCACTCTGGTCATTTCCTATTTGAGCAGGGTAGGGAAGTGCCGTTTTTGAGCCAAGACCTCGCCAAAACAAGCAAATGCAATCCACCAAAGCAGAGCTTTCCAACACCAACCTCAAGGTTCTCCTACTTCTAGCTAAGTCAGCTAGCCACGCAGGCTGTAACCCTTGGAACTGCAGTGCTGTGGGCAATTTAAGGTGTCTTCCAAAACGTGACCCATTTAGTGGTAAATCCTAAGCTGTACAGACTGTAGTTTCACACATCAGTTGCCTTAGGAAAAGTTAAACTATAGGATTACGTTCCTCTCCAAAGCCATGGACAAACCCGGCAGAACACAACAGGCTAAAATGCACTAAAATGCTGGCAAGTCTAAAGTACACAGGGCCCTCTGGCAGCAACTGTTACTTGGGATTTAGGTAGCCATGGCCTACAATTTTGCAACAGCATCCAAGTATAGGGCTTCAGCCTCCTCCTTTCAAGTCCCTTGTGCTAACTCCCACCAAAATGAACTTGCTGTTCTGTAAACTGAAGTGCTCTAGTTTAGTATCACATGAGAGAAGGTTCCATTTAAAAAACATCCTTGTTATGTTTGTGCAGTTTAAATTAAGGAAACCCATCCCTGCCTTTATTTAAAAAAAATAAAATAAAAATGCTACATCGAGCAGGGATCAGCATCGGTACCTGTAAACATTGTTATTCCACTGCATCTGTTACGGCAAAAGTAACTGAGACTAAAAAGCCACTCCAATCAGTTCAGAACTTCTGTGCTGGTTTCGAAACGGTGGCCTCTGTCTACAGGCTTTAAAAAAAAAAAAAAAAAAAGAAAAGAAAACATAAGAATGAAGCAGAGCTTAAAGCTGCACCACAGAGTTCTCTTAGTCCAAACTCTGCCGACCATCATATGACATTTCCACATTTATGGACTGAAAAAAGAAATCACTCTTGATAAATCAAGATATAGTTCTATACATACAAAGACATCACTGATGTCATAAAGTTCAAACTTCCAGTGAAAGACTAGGCAAACTGGGCAGCTCTCCCGAGCGCCGCGCGGTCACTCCGAGTGCAGCGCGGCCGGCTGGTGCAGCGCGTGGCTGCCCATGAAGCCGTTGGCGTCGCTCGCCGCCAGGCTGCTGAAGTCGGCCACCGACACGGCCATTTTGGCACTGCTGATGTGGTGCGTGTGGCTCTCGAAGTCCACGCCGAGGTTGCTCACAGACACGTCGCTCATGAACGACTCCGGGACGGCCAGGCCCATTTTTAACCTCTTGGCGGGTCTCTCGGACTCCTCGCTGCACATGTTCATTGGGTTAAGCTCCGAATGATAAAAGCCAGTCTCAAATAAATTAAAACAATCACTTTCACCATTGCTGGGCAAGTTCAGCAACTCTTCCGTTCCGACAGGCACATGATTAACCGGTGCTCGGGGCAAGCTGTCCATGGCAGGAAAGGCATCGTCCAGGCAGTTCACATCGGAAGGGTGGCAGACGGTAGCTACACTGTTGGTCAGCGCTGCAGGGAAGACCAACACAAATGTAAATAAAAGCCACTTAGGTGGTTACAAGAAGATACTACTCAGCACTTAAGTCTTTTCCTCAATTTACCTGTCAGCTCATTGGCAGTGATAGAGTTGAGGATGCTCAGCTGCTGATCTGGGATGGCCTCTGCTCGGTTGCTGGACGTCAATGCTGAAGAGTGGACTGCTCCTCCAAGTGCTTCTGCTTCATCTACCAAACGATCCATGTAGTCCCTAGGAGGGCATGACATTTATAATGGCTGTTTGACAGGAAAACAAAGCCTAAGACAAAGATGGGTTTGAGCTGCTGCTGCCAATGCAGTTTTACACTGCTACATTCCAAAGTGATCATAGTCCTCTACAATTTACAACAGGAAACACACATTCCAGGAACTTCTACTTACGTAACTCCTGGATGATGGTTGTATCTCTTCTTCCCAAATCTCGTTTGCTGAGCAAAGTAATCGTAACGTTCTGACTTCTTCCACATGTAGTAGAACGCCACACACTCAGCAACTGTTCTGGTTCTTACCTAAAGGAGGACAACAAGGATTGACAAAATAAATGCAAAAATTATCTTTTGCCATCTTCCTATTCTCCATATTCCCAGAATACTGTTAGCTTTACTATTCTAGGAACTGTAATAACCCCATACAGTAACAAGATTTTTAGAGAGATCGACAGTTTCAGGTATTTATTGAGACAGTTCCATTGTACTAACTTAGGTCCATGTCAAAAGATAAAACATCCTATCTACATATGAAGCATAAAATTATGTAGGTTATGAACTGAGATACTACACAACAGACTTTAAGGAGAAAACTCAGCAAATCAACAAACTAAGCAAAATAAAGCAGGAAAGACCTCAAGCACTTTTCCTTTTGCTGAAGTTGGGAACTGGTGAAGCTTTGACAACAAACGTGCACACGAGTACAGGATCTAAACAACAAAATAAAACTGTAGTCTGGTGAGCAGCTGTAACTCAATCTCCATTAACCATTTGTTTCATTCCCCAAAATGAAGACTACTGTACAAAGCCAGATTCTGAGAGAACAAACTATTACTACATCCTTATGAAATAGGATCAATAGTCATCATTAGCTCCAGAATATTTCTGATTATCAACAGGCCATAGTTCTAGCATAAGTGTTAATGTAAGCTAGACTACGCAACCATATTCAGAGATAGTCTGGCAGGAAACTCTGTTTATGTTAAGAATTTCATCAAACTGGTAAAACCATCAGAGGCAAGGTCCAAATGCCCTGGATATAGTAAAGAATCTTAACATTAACTCATGAAAAAACAGCCAAGTCCTTTTTTGGCATCTCTGCTGAATTATTGTTTATTACTAAGTTTCATTTAAAATCAGAGTTACACAAACGTTCACCATAAGACAGGTTCAGACAGCAGAATTAGCTGACTTGTGCTCAACAGCAGCCACACTATTAAATATTACCTAAAACACAACAAACAGGCTGGTCTCCTAAAGATAAAACTCAAGAGGATATCAAAAGGTTTAGGCAACATAGAGAGAATTTGGAACCATCCATTGAAACAGGCCATCAGCTACACCAAGTGCTGCATATTTCTGATAAAGAACACAGTCCCTGGTGCTCAGGGGGAGCAGGCGCAATCAGAAGCAACCTCGATTGAGGGGAGGACTCCTTCCTCAGCGAGACATCGGAGTGCTGCTGACTACTGACCTTCCTATTCTGGCAAAACAGGCACAAGCCTCTCACTGCAGAACGACACCTCTCTGGTGACTAACCAAAAGCAGGTTACATAAAGATGCATTTTTCCCCTCCCACAGCCACTGTATGCAAATACTAATCTATATACTACTACTAGGAGAAGCAGGCTTGTAAACTGATTTAGAGTTCATAAACATGAATAGATTTCAGAGAAAATATTGACTCATCTTGCGATTCCCATCTTTTGCCATGACACACAAGGAAAAAAGAAAAAAAAAAGCACAGAAATGACAAGTTGGTTGTAATATGCTGGATCTCTTCTCACTCTTCAGCATGGCTTGTGACGTGTACTGCTTCAGCAGAGTTTAGGCATTGCATCCTCTCCCAACTTTTCCACTTACCTTGTTTTTCTGTATGAGATGAAAGTCCTTTCCATAAATCAGGAGTGCGTGCTCAAAGCTTCTGCATTCTTCTTCTGTCCATGCTGTCATCTCGTCTAGACAATTACAAAAATAATACAATAAGCTTACCCACACCAGCTCACCTTTTAGAGAAACAGAATAAATATTTGTGCTGCTAACGCACGAAAACCCAACTACACTGTAAAAAGAACAATAGCTCTGTTTGGAACCATGTTCTCTCCTCTACTGCACAGACACCCTACTTGAAATATTACATTCCTGTTTAGAAATCACAGTCTCTTACTGTCTTTGTCTTTGTAACACCTCTGATGGGCAAGTCCAAAGGGCATTTAGAAAAGTTCATTTCCTATTTCTTTTTAAATAAATTTGCCATTGAAAATCCAAGATTTGAGGAAAAAAATGGCATCAAAATAAAGCTTATTTTTCTGAAGTGTTTCTTCTTACAGAGGATCCAAAGAAAAACTGTCATTGAGAAGAAAAAAAAAAGGGTAAACCAATCTGTTTTAATTATAGTTTCTAAAACTGAATTTCAATTTTACAACTGAAAACACACAAAAGAGAGAAATCAACAAGGGACTGATTTATTTCATGGTCACAGCATTTCATAATGTGCTTTATGGCAAAATAGCTTAAATTACATGAAAAGGTCAATTTTGTCTCAACTCCTCTAGCTTTCCTACCTTGGTTATGGCTTTACGCATGGATATAACAAAGAAGGGATATTTCCGCCATCTTAAACTCATAGTGATGGTAAAAAAGTAAAAAAGAAAAAAGAAAAAGTTTCTGTTCAGCTGACATGTCAAGTCAATGGGGAAAAAAACCCTCATCATTTCTAAGCATTTCTGGAAGTGGATACTGGATACCTTTCTGCTGCCTTATGGAGATGATAATCACTAGGCTACAAAAACATCTTTTCTCACCCCATGGATTTTGCACTCTTTGTACTACAGAGTTCCCCAGCTCCAAGGAGAAGAGTGGATCCCCATGCAAGTTCTCCCAGTTAAGGGATTCTCTTCAATAATATGGATTTCATCTCTCAGTTTGACAACAGCACTGAACTTAAGTGGCTAGAGACAATCATAAAAGAAGGGTTATCCTGGAAGTAAGGCATTATCATCCACTACCCTTTTTAACAAAGAAATTTTAAGACCCATTTGACTGTTTGCTGAAGCGTGAGTACTAGTCCCCAGGACAGAATATGGGGCTCTGAACCACAAATGGATAGAGGGACTTTTTGGTCCCGAACCAGGACTCTGCATCTCAGAGAGGTCTGGGGTTTCGCAGAGATCCTTGTGACTGGTGTTTCTTTGTTGTTCAGCTCTACACAATCCCTTCCCACACACAAGCCTCCTCAACACTATCATCTGCCACATACTGTCCCCTTCAGCTGTACCACAGACACTCAGCTATCCCAACACTTCAATGGTAAGCACTCAAATCCCCTCTGCATCCAGTTCTATGGAGAATCAGCTACGCTGTTTCTACGAGGACTCACAGTTCACTTCAGTTTTACACAACACGTTTGTGTTGAACATCAGTCCAAACCCCATCTTTGATAAGTGGTAAACTCTATTCTTCATTTTAGGAAGTAATAAAGTTAGAGATAGGACAGAAGTTCATTTCCTACTGTAAATTCAAACCAAGACCTGCAGAACTATATGGGGGACCCAAATTAGGTTGGAGCAACTCAACGTACTAACAGCAGCCCACAGTACCTGCACAGCACAGAAGCAAACAGGACTTATTTACAAAGGCAGGCATGATTTCCTCATTGTGGTGCAACTATTGCTAGATCGCAATTGACCATGATCTCAAAAATACTGCAATATGGATAGCTGGTGTGAACAAAATCATGGCTCCCCTCTCTTGCCCCTCAGTCTGTGCCATCTATCCCAGCCCTCACAACAGCAGTGGAAGAAAGGCAGGGGTAAAAGGTCTAAAAGCTGATCCTGCACCCTTTATACAAGTTGCAAATTTCTCTAGCAGGAGTTTCCAGCTAACCATTAGTCAGAATATATTTAATGGTGCCAAAAGCATCATGCATATCATTCTAATTCTTACTCTTTTTTTTTTTTTTTTTTTTAAACATGCTTTTATCTATTTTTCAAACATACATTTCTGAAAAATCAGGTATTCTCTCTCTTACCCTGAGATGCCTTTCCATTTGAGCAGTATCTCTCAATTGCTTCTTTAACATTATGGCTACTTTTGAGAAGTTCATAGAGTGCCTACAAAATAGAAGAAAGTCTTTTTAGAGAGTCAAAGTTTGCAAATAACCAGTTTGAAATTCTGAAACTTGCTTTTCAGGCAGCATGCCTCAGGCCAAAATAGACAATTTATTATTATACATGATGAAAATTTTAAAAATAAGCAAAAAGAAAACCATCCAAAAGTTGAAACAAAGTAAAATATTATAGGCAATTATAAAAACGGTTTTGTTAAGGATGTGGCAAGAGTAAGAACGCAACTCCATGCTGCCAATGTTCAAATACTCATAAGCTTAAGCACGGGGTTAAAAATACGACTCCGACCTCATTAACATCTAATTAAAAAATTCAATATTGTACCCTTTACAATACAACCAAAGAGAAAGAACATGTGCTCATTACAAATCACTGTGGCACAAATGGAGCCAGAAGACAAAACATACTTGTTCATTGTCCCGTGTTTGTATTCCTTCAGGAATCCTGCCAATCATTTTCTCATTTCCTGTTCTTAAAGAAGCTTCAAAAAGGTACTCCTTAACTTTGCTTTCGGAGATCACATCAGGCTTCCAGAGTAAATGGTCTTCATTTTCATAGGCTGTTAAAAGAGAAATCTATTAACATCAGGTATCACCAGTCCCTCATGGAGTACAGAGGAGCTTTCACACAATCACCATCACCCAGAAGGGCAGATTTCTCTGCCAATGCCAAGCAGGTCTGAAATTCCCAAGGCTGCTTTTGCACAGATGCCCACTCTTCCAAACACCTCCACACACGGAGGGTGGCCCAACCTCTCTGACCACTCCTGAGGCTCAGCCTCAACCTCCCCCCCTATTGCAAGGATTATTGCTTGAAAAGCAGTGGAATTTGGTGAAAAGGCTTGGCATGTTTGATAATATTAATACCCTCATAAAATGTTACTGTTGGAAAACAGGCAATTTAGAGAATGTTGAAAACTGAACAGAAAAAAGAGAATACCCTTTGTTTATTAATGTCTCCAAAATTGTTTCTTCATTGCATGGCCGTTTCACCCAGAAGCAAATTGCTTTCAGGGTCTACTTTTTGAACTGCAATTGAGCTGTATGTGCTATGCTTTTCCTAACACTGAAGCTCTTATAAAAGAGGTAAAACTCTTATTAGAAGCTCTTTTTTTTTCCCTACCCTGACACAACTGCATTTGTAACCCAAATTTATATACAAATTGTATCATATTTATAACATTGTACTTTATAAAACCCAAAATATATTACAGGACTTGAACCTCCTGCCTGGACTATGGAATTTTATAGAAGTCTATTGCTTTTATGTTCTTCATAGTCATTCTGAAACCGATACAAGTGGTTCTGGCTTCTGCCCATACAAGGCAAACAGAGAATAATATGGTTTTGAAGATTTTTCAATGTACATCATGCCCTTAGCTGGGTTATAATATTCTGAGGAACATATTTCCTTCTGGTTGCCTCCTAAAAATTACTGGATACTTAAGACTTAACACTGCGTTCCTATCCACTCTCCAATACCTTCTTGAAATTGTCCTCTCCAAGTCTTGGAATAGTATTTCTGAGAAATAATTATGTGACTGTGTCTCTTCAGTTCTCTAACACTTCTTTAATGGTGCCTTTAATATACAGGGCTTTAATACGGCCAGTGACTTTCTACCTTATAACTTAAAAGACAAATATTTTCATCAAAGGTTGCGTATAAACATAAGATAAAAAAAAACTTTTATTTTTAAGAACTTACCCTTTTCAGCATCATTGTATCTGCCAAGGTAAGGAGGAATTTCAGCCTGATACTGTGAACCAACCATTATTTCCTGAAGATAAATGAAGATAAATTAAACAAAAATAAAGCTTAAGATTTAATGCACTGAAAAACTAAAAAAAAGCCATATAACTTGGCACTCATCATGAAATTCCAGAATTAGTATGTTCCGTATCATCCAGAACAATATCTACCAAGTATATATTTTTAATGATAAAGTATTTTGGGTTTTTTTGTAGAAACAGTTATTACCTTTCTCAAATCTTCAGATGAATTGCCATTGTCTGCCTCAACATCTTCACCATCTGATTCCTTATCCCCATCACACGTAGTGTTTGCTTCAGACATATAAAGAAGTGGGTATTTAGCTAGAAAGAATTTTTAAGCAATCACAGAACTACAAAATAATTTATAGGGTTTTGGGGGGTTATTTTTGTTTGTTTTGCTTTTGAAAGGGGCACCTGCTTTTATGCAAGGAAACCCTGATCCTGAACCTTCAAATTCTGTTCATCTACATTTTCAACAAACTACAGCAGTACTTTCTTATGTAATGCTATTTACATACTGCAAAACTGAAACATTCACCATCACTGCACCTGAGTCTAGCATATTCTAATAATCCAAAGGAAACATGACAACTCTTCCTCACCATTTTTTCCTCAATTATAGCTTACATCTTATAGCAAAGATGTAAAGGAACAAAACTGGAAGACCAGGGCTATGATTTTGCCCCAGTTAAATACAACGATATGTTGAAGACAAGTATCTATTGCTTAACAACAAAACCTCTAATTGGAGGCTTCAACAGATACTCAACATGAAGACACAGAATAGATATACAAAACACATCAAGCAAAGTACAGCTGCCTGCTTACTCTTCTTTACACTCTGTGTGTGTCTGTGTGTCTGTGTATCTGTGTGTGTGTGTGTGTGTGTGTGAAGAAAGACAACAGAACAATTTAAGTAACTTAAGGCAATACTTCACTGAGTAATTTGTATTTTAGTCTCTAGAATGCTGCAGTATCAGGTTTTGAAGTTACCATTTTTTACAGATTTATAATCCTTAATAAAATGAAATCTACTGTTCTGATAATATTAAAAACCTTCTGCATTCTCAAACCGCAGTAGTAAGATATGAATATGGCTGCAATTTTAACTTCTCCCTCAAGACTAACCAGAAGAGTCAATACCAGAAACAATATTCTAAACTGTGGGAACTGATGCTTTTTAGCTATAGTCATTCCTGCAATCACAGATCTACCTTTTTTTTAATGTTTCTTTTTTTCTTTCTTGTTAAAAGTATCATGCCAGAAATAATATGAACACATTATCCAGCAAAATGCCTGGATAGTCATATGCAACTATTTTTTCCAATTAATCCGAGTTTAATGAGATATCATAAATTAAATTATAGAAATGTTTATCTTGCAACTTAATAATATCTTAGTATCAGAGACACTAACAGGGTTAGAGAAAAAAACAGAAAATGCACAGAGAACTAATATTATCTCCCTGAAAAGGTGAATATTCGATCTAAAAATGTCCAGTCACGGATTCTAATAGAGTAACATCTTAATAGAAAACTATGATAGCAGGAAACAAACAAACAAACAAACAAAAAAATCGCCCTAATCCTTAGCAATAGGAGGGCCTAATCATTTTTTTCCATCAATCTGTCACTTTTTCAGTGCCATATTCATCAACAGTTCACAAGCAATACTTAAGTGACAGTAAATGTGGGGTTTGCTTAAGAAGGGCATTACCATTTTTAAGGGTTTTGCATCCCTCTATATATGAATGTTTTATATTACATAATCATCAGCATGGGAAGGACTGCAATTGGAGATGACTCAGGCAGCATGTCCCCTCTATCACCCCGCTTCTCTAGAATGATGAGGAGCTGACAGAAACGGCTCAAGATACTTTTCAAATTAAAACCATCAGGAAGTCCTGTGTATTGCTCTAATTCCAGGACACCACTGACTTATGCAACTGCAAGAGGCAACAAGGAATACCTGGCCCAAGCTGGATAACTGCACTCCTGGTTCTTAGATCTTGCCCATAATAGCTCCACGGGTGGTGAAACTTTGGTGGTCTTGGGTTCATGGGCCCAATCCCATAAAATACCACAATGAGGTCCAATGGAACGGTGTTGTATGTGTGAAGGGAAATAATACCACAGAGAAATCACAGCCCAATTCACATCCTCAGACTGAATGGAGGAACCACTGGCTTAAAAATAGCAGCAATAGTTTTAGTAGAGGAACACTAACTTAAAAGAATGGTTACATATTCATGTCATTCAGTAACATATCAAAAATCATGTAGTGTGTCCCTCAACACCACACTAAGTATTACTTATGGAAAGTTACTGTATTTGAGGAGATATTAATAACCACAGACAACATCCATGCAGAATATCATGCAAAGCACTCTTTCTAATCTCTCACCAAAGTCAACAGCATTCTGTTCTCTCTATATTTTCAGCTAACAATTTATATATGATTGTATTGAGTTCTATTATAACACTAGGTTTCCTACATCTTAATGGTCGAGGAAAGAAGTCGGTAGCCTCGTGTGACGTAACCGATGGCGTCAGGTCGTCAGCAGAAGATTGTGTTTCTTCATCATCACCCGACAAGAGGTCTTTGGCTATTTCCTCCTGTGTCATTAAAAACAAAACAAACACTCAGAATTGAATATTAGGCATGAAATAGTACATATGTCACAACTCAGCAGTACATAATTCAGCAAATTATAAGTCCCATTAAAATCGTTTTACCAAAACGAATTTTAGTCTGCACTCCCCGAATTAAAAAGCTAGTTTACTTCTCTTAAATCTGAGAACAAACATAGCCATTCATTTCAGAGCTGAACACAGGGGTTCTTCATTTTCTCCTCTCCTTTATTAAAATAAAACATACAAGAAGCAACCTCTATAATCACTAGTCTCAGAGGTTCCTCCAGTTGCCTCTAATGAAAAATGGAAATTGCTTCAATATGTAGACACCTGTCACATTTAGTGTCACAGATCCATTTTAACTGTAACCTGCTGATCATACCTCTAAACCCTGGAAAAAAAATAAACAGCTAAACAAACAGAACTGCCAACAGTAGCTGTAATTGTTGTCTATGCACATTTTGACAGGTAGCAGACAACCTGGTATCTTCCCAAAAACACACACACAAAAAAGAAGCTTCTGAAGATTTGAAATTACAACAAAAAAAGGAATATTTTTTGCACTAGCCCCCATGTTTGAATCCCTCTGTACAGAGGTTAGGGAGGGAAAGAACTGCATTAAACAACAAGCCGACTACATTTTTGTAGCCTCAACATAATCATGAATCTCAGTAAGAATCAGATGTGCAGAGCCATCATTATACTCTACTTCCGTGGCATTCACCATTACATCATGTTTACAGGAAGTAAAGATATGTTTAATACCTACATATTTTATAACCCAAACTACTAGCTGTGTATACTTATAGTCAAAAATCAGCTTAAGGTCTTAGAATTTAAAAACCAACCTGCAAATCCATCCCTCTACTAAAAAAATGGGAAGTTTCAGGTTTTTATATCAGCAATGCAACACACGCACTCATTGCAGATAAAATGATCTCTCCCTTGTTCCTCAGCTTTCCAAGCGATATGTATTTGAAAGGAACATTCCAAAGCATTCAAGAGTGTCTTTTCTAGTTATCTACCTACGCTCTCATGCATGAAATGCATATTGGAAGCCAGAACTATTATTATTTCTGAGGTCTGTATACATTGAATAAGACACAGAACTTATAAAGTAAAGTCACATTTCTGTTTTTTTTTTTAAAGAAATACATTAGCTATTATATCAGAAATGTAATAATTATATAATAGTTATTTAGATGCACTTTGAAAGATTGTAGTAATATAGTGCAAGTGCAGTTATGTACATGTAAGTATAATAAGTATATTTAGACTCAGATTGTCAATGTGCTAGAAGAAGAATCATTTAAGAAAACAGTAATACTCACCTGTAACTTAAAAGTGTCCAAGATATATGTATTTTGTAACATCAAGAGACTGTGAAACATAACCTGAGTGTGAAATATAACATGCTTCTGCTTTTCAAATGCAATAGAGAGGAAAATGCTTCAGACTTACTTTATCTAGAGTCATATCTGGAAGTTCGTCTGCCAGTTCGCTCGGAGAGCTATCCGCGCTGGAAGCTGCCATAACTGGAATCGTGGGTTCATAGCCATAGAATGCCAGTAAATCCTCCAGTGGCATGTTGCCTTCCTAACATGAGAGCATTTGCAAATGTTTCAACATTAAGCCAAATACTTATCAACTGTTGAGGCTTAAGAGAATGTGTGTTTTGAAATACCAAGTGAAAAAACAAAGGAAAACCTAACAAAGTAAAAACTTCATCACAGTTTTTAACTAATTTCAGGCACATGAACAAAAGCATGTATCATGATAGGCCTGCCAGGCTACTTAAGGAAACTCTTAACTGGATAAACAAATGAACAAGTCTTTTTCAAAGCTAATCAATTACAGTTTGATTGTTTTTTAATTTTAAAAATTAGCTCTTTATCTGATTCGTTTTCAGCGTGAATGTTTTACCCATGTTCCTTCAAGGCAAAAGACATGCAAACAGATAAATATCTTCAAGATGGAAAATACAGAAATATCACAACCCTTCCACTACCAAGAACTGCAGAAAACCTCGAACACTTTAGTCCTACATAGTAACAGCTGCAAGTGTGCATTCAAAAAACAAAGCAAACCATTATAGCAACTTTTTACTCTTCTTTTTCATCTCTTGTACAATACATTTATATTGACTGTTGGGAAGGTAACAGGAGAAAAATAGCTAATGATACAAAGGTAGAAAGGAAGGGAATTGCTTTGTTTATAATTGGCTTTTCCAACAGTTTTAGTCAACCCCTTTTATTAAAGGTCACCATACTATACCTCTCACCACACATTAATAAAACAGCAAACCCTGAAGATTTTTGATTTACCTGATCCAAGCCACAAAATAATTAGAAATATTTCCAATATTTATACCTTTAAAAGTTGTATTACCTTTAAAAATTTCTTGTTGAACTCATATACTGAATAAATTACTTGATTTCTTTAGTCAGCTAGGTCTTAGTCCTGCAAAGACTTTTCACAATGGGTAAACGTAAACTCATGTCCAAGTCTTTCCAGGATCGGGACCTAAAGTAATAAAGTGTTTAAGATGAGCGGCTCTCAGTTCTTTTTCCTTGTACTATTGAAGCAATAAGATCATTTTGTGGAGTAATAACTCCATTTTATTGTTAGAGCTGGTAACCTGCTTCACAATTATAACTGCAAACTCATACCAGCAAAAACGTAACTGCAAAGAGGAAGGTACCAGGTCAAAAATCTGCCAGTATAAGCACTGTCAATCCCACATTTAGAACATACATTTTTTACAATGAATACACAAACACAGTTTCAGATTTGATGCTAGAAATTACACCTCCCTGGAAGTTTTTTGACCAAAATCTGCAGTTATGCTGAGTGATGTAAGTGGGTCATGGAACAGTAATGTAAGTAGCATCAATTTGCAGGTGTTTAACATTCAATGGGTGTTTAAAAGGGGAGATGTACTGGCATGGACGAACAAGGGGTCTACCACGAAAAATAATTTAAAGAGTATAAAACAGAACAGGAGATGTCAAAGAATATGCTGGTCGTCTCCTATAGCCATCAAATGCCAAATTCATGAAACTGAGACTGAGAACCACCACTTATGTAAATGAAAGTTATCCAACATGCTTAAAACAGGATTGTTTGTTTCCAAATTGGAAAAACAGTTCAAAAGCAGTCTTTCATGTACAATGCATACAAACGTTTAGGAGACTGTAAATCACTCTTACCTTTTCTAAATCTTCAATTTCAGAGCTGAAATTTTTGCTTTCTTCCATCATTTCTTCTTCTTCAAGAGTTCGCTCATCATCATAATCATGTACCAGCATTTCAGCAGAAGGGTCAAAGTCATGATCCTCAGAGGATAACGAGCCAACTAGAAAAAAAGAAGAAAAAAAAACCAAGAATTTGAGTATTTTTTTTTTCTCTTAATCAATACATGAAACTGCATTGCTGTAAAAAACACGGTTACATGCATTCTTTTATATACAGGGCCAGGACTCTAAATAGAGTAATGGCAACAAAATTCTACTTCTATCTGCTTTTTTTAGGTGACCTTCCAATTTTGTATTTGCAAGTGGCAAACAGGTACAACTTCCTTTCCTGTGGTGTACAGTAATTTGAAGACATTACTATGGAAACAAAGTTTCAGAAAGTACCCCAAATCAAATTTTACTAAATATAGGGAGTGTCCAAATCCTCACTATGATGAAAAATATACACAAGATTTTAAATATCATGAGCATATTAAAAGCACCTTATAAATGTGAGACCATGATTTGTAGCCTTTGATGATATGATTTGAGGCTATGATAAGTAATATACTTTTCAACTGGTAAAGAGCTAATGGATTATGAATTAGCTTACTAATACCAACAAAATCATAGTGAGATTCACTGCAGATTAAGACATCTCATTTGTGAAGCTGAATTATTAAAACTAATCTAACTTGATGAAGAAGGGAAGGTTCTGCTACAAACACAGTAGAATCCCACATAAAGAAAATATAATAAAAATAACAAATCTCTGGTCATGGACCACAATAACTAACAAGCTGCTCTTATTTTAAAAGAATTTTATCACCTGTTGAGAAGATTATCATTACATTATACAACTTTTAAAGATGCAAATATTTTGCACTTCAAAGTCGATATTCTCAAGTGAAAATTACCGAAATAACAGTGTTGTTTTGGTCTTTCATGTTCACTTTCTTATGTCTTTCAGGATGGAGGGGGGGGGGGAAAAAAAAAAAAAAACAGATTAGGATAATTCACTTTCACTTCTGGTTTCCATTTCTAGTTCTTACATACTAGTGCTCTGTTACATAGTTTGGCTTACAAGCAGCAAAGAAAAGGATTATCAAGTATTATTTCCATACGAGATCATCTTCTGAGCATCAACGAAATATCTACCAATTTGCTTCTCCTAAAAAAGGAAAAAAAAAAAAAAAAGAAAAAAGCAGCATCCTTCTTCACCTACTTCTATATCTTGAAGAGACGCTTGCACACTTACATACACTAACACTTCAGAGTCTAAAAATGCATTTTTTAGGAATTATTCTAAGCGCATTCCTTACATGCAAGAAACGAAGGTAAACTTTGTCCATTTAGCTTGGTCAGAACAATACTGTGAAAGCTCACAGTACCACAGGAAAACATTCAGGGCAAAAGCACTTTCTATCCACATGCTATTCACATTATAGTCCCACCGAGCTCACTCTTAACGTAATTGATAACACCGCTGCAATTACAATCACATTCCCATGTTGAGTTTTCCTAGTGCTGCATATTACATCCTGATAGCGCTACAGCTTTTAAACAGCCATCAACTGTTTCAGAATAATCTTTTGCATTTGTGTACGTACACAGACATACCAATGGTTAAGATGACCACTAGACGCTGTGTCTAGTAGCCTGATTACTACTAGGCTGTGTGCACGCGTGTATATATAAATATATAATCCAGCATTATCAAGAAGTCAGGACTCTACGCGAGCCTCCGAGTTACGGGCGAGCAGCGGCCTCCCTCTCGGCGCCCTGCTCGCCTGCGCTCAGACGCCGACTCGGAGGCGCTGCACAAACTTTGCTGCGGCGCGCGCGGCTCCGAGCCGCCGGCGCGCAACTCCTCGCCGTGCAGCTCTCCCCTCCTACGGTCGCGGCCGGCCTGCCGTTATCTCCGTGAACACGAAGCGCACAGAAAGCTCCGAGGCGGGAGGGGAGAACTCTGCAAAGGAGCCATGGGTGTGCGGAGGCGCCGGCGGGAAGGACCAACCTGGGCTCGAGCTCCCGAAGGACGCCTGCAAGGGAGAGCACGGAGAGCGCCGTGAGGCACGGCGCCCGCGCCCCCCTCGCCCCGCGCCC